TGAAGCGCTTTGAGATGTCTCAATGACGTGATAAGGCACTGTATGATATGTAAGGATTATTATTATTATATATCCCAGATGTACACTGGGGTTAATAATGCCTGGATGCAAACTATGGATAAGCAATAAATAAACAAATAATCCTTTCATGTAATATAGCGCCTGTCACAAGAGGACATCTCAAAGCACTTCAAAGCGCTTCATAATGGAAAGTTAGTGGCTGTGTATTTGTTGGGGAAAGGGGCAGCCAATATTCACTGAGCAATGTGTTAGAAATAGCCACAAAATCATTGACCAATTTTACTGGGGTGGGGGGGGTTGTTGGTTAGGACATTGGGAGAGAGAAACCCCTTTCTCTTTTTGATTAGTGCTGCAGAATCTTTAACGTCCACCTGAACAGACAGACAGGATGGTTTAACGTCTCATCCAAAGTACAGGACCTCTGACAATACAGTCTACTCCCATCACTGCACTGGTCTGTCAGCCTAGACTGTAAATTGAACATCTCTTTGTGGGGCTTCTGACTCCGAGGCAAGAGTGCTACAAACTGTGCAGACGTTGACAGCTAATTCATCATTAAATAAAAAAAAAGCTCATTCAATTGCTGGCTGTTTGTGGGATGTAGCTGTGTGCAAATTGGCTGCTGTGTTTGCCTACAAAATACACATTCACTGTGAAACGCTTTGAAATGTTTGGACATGATAAGGCGTGGCGTCGAATGCAAGGATTATTATTTTTATTGTTATTCATGCTAAGGAACCAATGATCTCTCTGCATGTGTTTCTGAAAGCTGCTTGTGAAGGATGTGGATTGAAATGGGTTATAATTCTATTCGGCATTGTATTACTTACTCATTATGTCTTATCTGCGGAGTTTAATTATAGCGGGAAGCAGAGAAGCCGACCTCGTGTAAGTTCCTCCCAGCTCCACATTCATTTAGTGTGAAACGCCATATCCCCCTCAGGATTATGAAATTAATAGTAAATCACAATTAAATGCTCCTCGGAGCCATTGTAAACCAGCACTGCTGTGTGTACTGAGATGCTTAATGTATCAGGAAGAGTGCGGGACATAGAGAGACATCAAATGTTCATGACCTGTGAGGCTTCAGCTATCAATAAAACAGCAAACGGCTAAATATGGCTTGGCCTGTAACCAGAGACAATATATATTCCTTCCTTACTTCCCTCTCCTCTCTTCACACACTCTCTCTCTCCTCTAGCCCTCCTCTTTCACTCACCATTCTCACCCTCACTTCTCCTTACTTTCCCTCCCTCTCTCCTCCTCACCCTCCATTCCTTTCTCCCTCTATTTTTCACTCCCGCGCTTCCTTAAATTCGTTCCTCCCTCCCCCCAATCTTATAAAATAATAATCCTTGCATTTGATATATCGCCTTATCATGTCGTTGAGACGTCTCAAAGCGCTTCACGGGATATATTGTAAAGTGGAGTGACTATATTTTGTGGGTGAAACGCGGCAGCCAATTGCACACAGCGGTGTCCCACAAACAGCCGTGGAGTGAGTAACCAATACATAGAGAAAGGAGTTCCTTTGGATACCGGCCAACAATTCCCCCAGATAAAATTCATCGCTCACTTCATAGCTGTTGGTGTACTGTTGCTGTGCGCAAATAGACTGCCGCATTTGCCGAGAAAATACGCAGCCACTACACTTTACAGTACGTACTGTGAAGCATTTTGAAACGTCTCGTTGGCCTGATAAGGTGCAATAGCAAATGTAAGTATTATTATAACACAGAGGCAGCATTCGGCCGTTCGGCCCATCAAACCATTGTGTTTCGATCATTCGCAGATGTTTTAATTCCCATGTACGCCTTTCCTCCGTAACCCCTTAAACCCCTCACTTGTGGAATATCTACCCGTCTCTCTCTGTTAAACATCTCAACTTCCTATACGTTGCATAACCTCCTGGGCTGTGAGTTCCACATTCTCACACGCTCTGGGTAAAGAAATGTCTCCTGACCTGATTTCTAACCACCCGAGCTTCAGTTTATAAGTTTATATCCTGTCACCAGAGAATGCTGTCACCAGAGAAGAGGCCCATCCAATATCGAACTCCAGGTACACCAGGGAGAACGAGAGCTGAGGATGAAAAAATCCCCTTCAGCCCTTTTAATAAACCTTGCATTTGATATAGTGCTCTTCACGTCAGGAGGGCAGCTTAAAGCACCGCACACGATTCACTACAAAGTGTAGTGACTGTGCAGTGAATGTTTTGCGCACAAACAGTCACTACGCTTTATGTTGAACAACAATAATCCTTACATTTGATATAGCGTCTTATCATGTCACCGAGACCGCCTCAAAATGCTTCTCGGGACTCCGTAAAATGTAGTTACTGTGTATTTGTACCGTGTATGGCTGCCGGCAAATTTGTACTGTGTATTTGTAAGGAAAATTGGTTGCAACAAATAACACCCCCATCACTGTCCCGAGTTCAAAGCCCCGAGACATCCTCCTGATGTGAAAGGCTCAGTATTTAATGTAAACGTCACTGTTGAAGAATCCAGTAAGAAATTGATCCATTTTAGATTCCAGCAAATAATAAAAAATCTTTCCATTTGATACCGGCTGCCTCTTGTTGGGAGGATGTCTTAAAGTGCTTCACGGGATATACTGTAAAGTGACTTTCATACTCACTTATTGACACTGCCAATCATTCATTCTCTGACTCATTCTCTGGCTCACTCTCTGGCTCACTCGCTCGCTCGCTCACTCACTCACTGACTGACTGACTGACTGACTATTTGGTGGATGAACAATATATATAATAATAATCCGTGCTTTTCACGCTTTCGAGAAGCTCAAAGCGCTTCACAGAATACAGACTGTAAAGTGAATTGACTGCATATTTTGTGGGCGAAACGCGGCAGCCAATTGTGCACAGCAGCGTCCCACAAACAATCGTGGATTGAGTGACCAAATTATTATTTTTATTTATTTTTCTTCAGGGATGATTATCAGGAGTGTGGCGTAAGGAAACTTGCCCAAGGTTTCGCCCTGCCGGGAATCGAACTCAGATCTCTCGCTTACGAGGCGAGTGCTCTAACCACTGAGCTACAGGACTCCACAAATAAATAATTCTAATCCTTTTAATCCTCGCATTTGATATTGTGCCTTATGGCGTCGTTGAGATGTCCCAAAGCTCTTGACAGAATATATTGCAAAGTGGATTGGTGTGTATTTTCTGTCTGAAGCCAAGCAATTGTGGATTGTTTTTTGGGGGATCTTTAACATACCTTTGCCGGCAGCAGCACACAACTAAAATCGGTGCACTTTAGGCTTCCAGCACATAATAATCTTTATGCGACTGGTGCTAACTTCTGCTCGGAAGTTCACAGTGGATCAAGACATATTATTCAATGCTCTTTTACCTGGTAAATTTAATAGTTGATTCGCAGGAAGAAGTGAGGCGAGGGGATTGAACTTGCAATCCACCGGGGTCTCTTTGGACATGTTTAGCAGCTAATGAGAAAATCCAATTTAATTATGGATGAGCTGAGACTGCCTGAGCTGCACACTATTTCTCTTAGCGCTTTGTGAGCTATATTAATTCGTATGAAAAATTAGAACTAGATGTGACACTTCATTATGACTCTTTAAGAAGAGATAGGGATGCCACAGAATAGGCTGTCGTTTTTTTTTAAAGGCTCTTCTCACACTCTTCAATTTTCTGCTCTATCCCTTTTGTGTCAGACATTTGCTCTAAAGAGCCCTGAAATACCTCTTGTTCTCAGGCTTAACACCAATGTTAAAATATTCAAGAATAAATTTCCGAGACCTCACTTCGCAAGCGAGACGGCCCGGCTTCGATTCCTGGGCAGGGTGAAACCTTAGGCTAGTTTCCTTACTCCACACGCCTCTGATTAACTAGCGGCAAATAGAAACCAGGGATAATAATCGCTCCCCCAAAAAAGGTGACTCAATCCACGACTGTTTGTGGGACGCTGCTGTACGCAATTGGCTGCCGCGTTTCGCCCACAAATATACAGTCAATTCACTTTACAGTGTATTCTGTGAAGCCCTTTGAGACGTCTTGAAGACCTGATGAGGCGCTATATCGAATGCAAGGATTATATGGATTATTATTATAATTAGCCACTGCGTTTCGCCCACAAAATGTACAGTCAATTCACTTTACAGTATATTTTGTGAACATGATAAATTTAAGGAACTCTTACATTTTGAGACAATGGGATCAGCATAAATTTATAATAATAATCCTTGCAGTTGATGTACAACAACAAAAACAAATGTCAGGAGGACGGCAGGAGGACAATCAGTGTTTCGGACCCGAGCTGGTCAAGAGCCTTTTCATGTCATTGAGACGTCTCAGAGTGCTTCACAGAATGTATTGTGTCCCACAATCAGTAGTGGATTTGGGGATGGATTATATCTCCCGGAAAGCGATCTATCAATTGATTAACAATCACGTTCCTGCTTACTGCTCGGTAAACAGAGGCGTGTGGAGTAAGGAAACTTGCCTAAGGTTTCTTCCAATTAAACCCGGGTCCTCTCACTTGTGAAACGCTCTGCGACAATACCCTGCGTGATAAGCGCTATATAAATGCAAGTTATTGTTGTTGTGGTTGAGTGCTCTGACAGCTCAGTGGTTAGAGCACTCGCTTTGCAAGTGAGAGACCTGAGTTCAATTCCAGGCAGAGGGCGAAACCTTGGGCAAGTTTCCTTACTCCACACAGAGCCTAATAATAATCCCTCCAAAACAAAAAACAATAATAAATTGGTCATTTTCAATCTACGACTGTTTGTGGGACATTGCTGTGCGCAATTGGCTGCCGCGTTCGCCCACAAATATACAGTCAATTCACTTTACAGTGTGTTCTGTGAAGCGCTTTGGGACGTCCTCCCGACGTGAAAAGCGCTATATCAAATGCAAGGATTATTATTATTATTATTACCCTGGGGGAATCTACCTTTGAGCCTGTCTAACCCACATCTCTTTTCCTCATCTCCCTCAGGCCCGTTGAGGTTCATCTCTATGACGGAGCCGGTCTCGGCTTACGCGGGAGACAGTGCCATCCTGAGGTGTGAAGTGACGGGCGAGCCCATGCCCTCCATCCACTGGCAGAAGAACCGGGAGGACCTGAAGCCTAGCGTGGGCGATGCCAGGCTCTCAGTTCTGCCCTCCGGCTCCCTGGCCATCAGTAAACTACAGGCATCCGATGCTGCTTCCTACCGGTGCTTGGCTGAGAATCCCGGGAGCTCTCGCACCGGAAACGATGTCGACCTGAAAGTCCTGTCTGGTGAGACGTGCTCTGAGCAGCCACTGAACAACAACACATCACATTATACACTACACATCATCTTGGGACGACTCAAAGCTGAGGAGAGTGTGTGGGAGGAAATAATAATACCATAATAATAATTATAGCCTCTGCGTTTAATGCAGTGCCTTATTCACGTCTCAAAGTGCTTCACGGAACATACAAACACAATGACCACAAGAAATTACATTTGTATCGCCTCTTTCACATTGGGAGGACGTCCCAAGATGTTGGTGAATTGAATTTAAAGGGAATTGACTGAGTATTTTGTGGGCGAAATGCGGCAGCCAATTGCGCACAGCGGTGTCCCACAAACAATCTTGGATTGAGTGACCAAATTTTTTTGGGGGAGGGATTTTTATCCCTAGAAAGCGATCCGCCACTTGGCTATCAGAAAAATCACAGTCGGAAAGATGGGTCTTATGTTGGACTTTAAAGGTGGGCAGTGCGTGGGCCTATTTGGAGCCAATGGTGGGTGGAAAATGGGGAGTGGGAAGGGGGAGTGGGGAGGTGATTGAAGGTGCAATGAAGGTCTGGGTTTTCAAAGTAGAGGGGAGAGGTGAGACGAAGGGTTCCATAGAGCCGGTGTGGAGGGGAGGGAGAGGGGAAATGTGGAACAGGCCTGAGCTGGTTGAGTGGAGGGATGGGGTTGGAGAGTAGGACCGAGGAGATCACAGAGGTAGAAGTGGGGGGAAGGATCTGGAGAACGTATGGAGCCAGGGGAGCCGGGCGAGGAGAGCAATGATAGGCTCACACAAGCCTGTTATTAATAATAACGATATTTACACAGCGGCTTTCATGTAAAACAAATGCCTTGGAGCTCTTTATAAGATTGATTAGAAATGAGAGTGAATGTTATTACAGAGGCTAACGCAGCAACTAATCTGCGCTAGCAACGTCCCACACATAACAACCGTGAGATGAGCAACTGATTGATTTGGCTCATGGATGAAGAGAGGGATAAACGTCAAGCAAGAACAATAAACAATAACATCAACAGATTAATTTGGTGCAATGCCTTTCACTTCGGGAGGACGTCCCAAGGCGCTGGACGGTTTGCAATGAAGCTGGGGGTTGGGATCAGGAGGGGGCCAAGGGCAGCCGCAGGTTGACCAGTGCCAAAGCTCGGCTCAGGAACCGAACCTTTGGGTATTTCTGGAGTTTAATATGTGAATCAAATCACCCGTACTAAACGCCGTACCCCCATCACACCAGTTCTAGCCACTGGCTCCACTGGCTCCCTTTCGCCAAAAGCATCGATTTCGATATCCTTGCATTCGTTTTCAAAGTCCCTTCATGCCCTGACACCTCTGTATCTCTCCGACCAGCTTACCCCCCAACCCACAACCCGCTGCCTCCGTTTGACTGGCACCTGCCTTCTGCATGTACCTCCGTTCTCCCGTCGGTGACCGCGCTTTCAGCCATTAAGTCCCGAAACTCTGGAACACTCTTCCTCTATTCTCCCTTCTTTCCCCATCTTCAGATCGTGCCTGAAGACCTTCCTATTCGACCGCGCCTTCGGTCACCTCCCCCTTCCACCTGGCTTGCCATCGTCCTCTACCACTGTCAAGCGCTCTGGGACGCTCGCTTGGGTGAGGGGCGCTAATATAAATGAAAGTTGTTGTTGTCATCAGTAGTGCCCTGGAATACTGCGGAACTCCCTGGCTCAGGAACCTGACTACCGAGAGCGCCACAGAGGTCTGGTTCGATTCTGATATTTCATTGCCAAGCGTGTCACCTTGGAACCAGTTCAGCTCCAAGGAGACCTCGCTTACATAATGATGAATGGTACATCATGAGATAAAGTGGAAACGATTTGCTATGGTCGTGGTAATTGACTGAGTGCTGATCATTGCCATTACCTTTGTGTCTGCCGGTGGAGAAGGGATTAGATGGTACAATACAATTTGGAGAGTTTAATGTATGAATCAATTCAAATATTAATAATACTCTAATGTGATACTTAGGATCCTACTGAAACCTCTTGCTTCCAATCTCAGGCTCTGTAACTTACATGAGGCTTTGTCGTGGAGGGAAAGGTTGAACTGGAGCAAAATGTACGTTGTACGCTCACTGAGCTTGGAGGAGATAATGATATCAATGATAATATTCCTTATTATCCGTCGTAAGGCAGTCCCATAGCCTAGTCTGGCTTTGTGAATTAAGTGTAAGGAGCTCCATCTCCTCTTAAGACTATCCTTATTGGGAGGACATAAGCATAGTGGTTAGGTTAGAGCACTCGCCTCACAAGCGAGAGGACCCGGGTTCGATTCCTGAGCGGGGCGAAACCTTAGGCTATTTTTTTTACTCCGCATACTTCTGTTTATCTAGCAGTAAGTAGGAACCCGGTTGTTAGTAGATTGGCGGATCGCTTTCCGGGGGTAATATAAATACTCTTGCTCTCTTTCTTTCTATGCATCTATCTTCCCTTTGCTTACTTTTTATTTAATCTCTCCCTTTCCTCCTAGCTCTTTATGTCAATATCTAGATAGATATTTGTTACGTCAGGGTTTAAGGGATATGGGACAAGGACGGGTAACTGGACTTGAGGTACAGATCAGCCATGATCTTATAGAATAGCGGAGCAGGCTCGTGGGGCTGAATGGCCTCCTTCTGTTTCTATGTTTCTCTTTCTTTCCTTATCGCTTTCTCTATCCTCTATTTTTTCTAGGTCTTTCTCTTACTCTCTCGCTCTTACTCGATCTGTGTTTTTCTCTCGATTCACCTCTCTCTCGTTTCCTCGCTTTTGGTCAATTGGTGGATCGTTTTCTGGGGATAGTAAACCCTCCAAGAAAAAAAACATTGGTCATTAAATCCACGACTGTTTGTGGGACAGTATATTCTGCAAAGCGCTTTGAGACATCTCAACGATGTGAAAAGGCTCTATGTCAAATGCAATTATTATTATTATTATTATTATTTCTACCTCTCTCTCTCTCTCTCTCTCTCTCTCCGCTATTGAGCCCAGCCTGCCTCTAATGCTGAGATCAGTTGCTGGATCGTGTTAACAGTAATTTAGTAAGAGTATGGGGAATGCCACTGTGAATAATAGATTTTCCCTTTTAAGTAGAGGTTGAGATTAGCTGAATGTTCAGACATGGTTCTGCTAGTAGCTCACTGGGGGATGAACAAGAACCAGCCCAACATTATCCTTAGCAAAATATCTCATAAGCTGGGAAAATGATTGCCGTTAAATGCTTTCAAGGGAGCGGGATGATACACGGCAAGAGGGCAGCAGGCTTGCTGTTTATCGATCATTTCAATAGCTCTCCTGCTGATTGCCGTCTGTGTAACAACAGTGGTGTCTATCGAGTTCGTATGAGATGAGATTCTGTTCTGTTCCCCATTATATTGAGCCAATATTTAGATTTATCGTTGATCTGCACATAAACTCCACTGGAGTTCTACTGTAAATCCTTTCCTTCGCCCTTTCCCCTTCGAATCTGTGCTCACTTCCCCCGCCCCCCCAACCGCTGGAGCTCTCTATTTTAATCTCATTCACCTGTTCTTTCCCCATCGTGTCTATGTTGGTGCTTTCTCCCCCGCTGTTGCTCTAATCCCACTCCCCTCCTCGGATCATTATCCTGTCGACGCTTTCATTTACCCACTGGAGCTCTCTACTGCAATCCCATTCACCTGCTCTTTCCTCCATCGTATCTGAGCTGGTGCTTGCTCCCCCTCTGGATTACTCTACTGCCTTGTATCTGTTCTGGGATCACTTTTTAGTTAGGACACAGTTAAGTTTTATTACAGTTATTGCCATTGGGATATAGCATGCTGCTAACTGCTCCAGACAGACACTGACTACTTGTGAATTGTATTCCTTTAAGTGGAGAAGCCTGTAACACATTGACACTCTCCACATTTTAGAGGCTAATTGGCTCCCAGCACGTCTCCAATTATTTACTTAATATGCTCTTTAATACCCTGTCCAATTGGAGATAGTGTGACAGCCACTGGTTGGGAAGGTGAACACGTGATAGCGCAGGGATTCTGGAGTGTTATATAGATTGACCCAGCACAGAAACAGGCCATTCTGCCCAATGAGACCGTTCACGTGTTTATTCTCCTCCACTCTTCCTAATCCCCTCCTATCCTGCTCTGTTCCTTTCTCCCTCATGTTTGTATCAGTTGAAATCTTGTAGCGTAGTGGTTAGAGCATTCGCCTCGCAAGTGTTAGGACCCGGGTTCGATTCCCAGTCAGGGTGAAACCGTAGGCGAGTTTCCTTACTCCACACGCCTCTGTTTATCTAGCCGTAAGTGGGAAGCTGGTTGTTGGAGGATTACTTTCTGGGGTTAGTAATGCCTTAAAAAAAAGACACTCAATCCACGACTATTTGTGGGACACTGCTGTGCGCAATTGGCTGCTGCGTTTCACCCACAAAACGTACATTCAATTCACTTTACAGTATATACAGTGTAATCGCTATATGAAATGTTATTATTGTCAAGTTTTGCCTTAATACTCTTGATGCTTTTTGCTTAAATCACAGCTTCTGGCAGCGAGTTCCACATTCTCACTTCTCTCTGCGTGAAGATGTTCTCCTAAATTATCTGATCTGTTCCTGACTGTCTTACAGTTATTCCCTCTTGTTCTGGCAGCAAGTGGAAATATGCTTGTAATTCTCACTTTATCAGATCCTTTTGTAATCTTAAACTCCTCTATTAGGTACCTCTCAATAGTCTCATCCCCAAAGAGCTCAAACAGACAGCTCAAACCTGTCTATTCTTTTTTATAGCCACATATCCCTGGCAACTTCCTTGTAAATGTATACTGAACTTTGCAATGTTAAAACATCTATAAACCATCCTTGAAAAGTAACATCTCAAATAAGGTCTTACAGAACTACAACAATAACAACAAGATTACAACAACAACAACAAGATTCCATTTATAGAGCGCCTTTCACGTCGGGAGGACGTCCCAAGGCGCTGTACAGTTGGGTCAGGACCCGAGCATTGGGGGGAAATGGTCAGGGTGAGGGGAGGGAAGGGAGGTGAGCGAGGAGGGGGGAAATGGTGAGGGGAGGGAAGGGAGGGAGTGAGGAGGGGGTAGAGAGTCGAGAGGGGAGCTGAAGGCTCGGTCAAAGAGAAAGGTCTTGAGACCGGCCTTGAAGATGAAAGGGAGGAGGCGGCGACGGCACTGGGGGATGGAGTTCCAGAACCTTGGGACTGAGAGTCAATTCACTTTACAATATTCACTTTACAATATATTCTGTGAAGTGCTTTGAGACGTCTGAATAACATGAGAAGGCGCTATATCAAATGCAAGGATTATTATTAAATCGTGATACACTTCCTGTTTCCATCATGGCTTCCTGTGTGAATCACTCCTGCGAGTTTATAGAACTAGGGAACCTTGCAGGGAAAAGCTTGAAAGATTGGGTCTGTCTTCCTTGGAATAAAAAAGGTCAAGAAACTGTTCCCCCCACCCTGTCCTCTGCCTCGGTGTTCTGTTCGACCCTGAGCTGTCCTTTCTTCCTCATATCCGCGCCACAACTGGCACCGCCTTCCATCACCTCCGGAACATCGCCAGACTACGGCACTACCTCACCCCTCACGCGGCTGAAACTCTGGTCCACGCCTTTATCACCTCAAGGCTGGACTATGGGAACTCTCTCCTCGCCGGCCTTCCCGGTACCTCCCTCCACAAGCTGCAGGTCATTCAGAACTCTGCAGCTCGAGTACTGTCCCGCACCAGGCTTCGGGACCACATCACTCCCACCCTCGCTCGCCTCCACTGGCTCCCCATCCCCCAGAGGATCAAATTCAAGATCCTCATCCTCACCTACAAGGCCATTCACGGCCTTGCTCCCTCCTACCTCTCGGAACTACTATCCCCCTACTTACCTGCCCGTACCCTCCGTTCCTCTGGCTCCAGTCTGCTCCACATCCCCCGCCCCAACCGCCCTACCATCGGTGGCCGGGTTTTCAGCCTCTCAGCCCCTAGGCTCTGGAAAACTATCCCCCAGTGCCTTCGCCTTGCCTCCTCCCTTTCCTCCTTCAAGGCCGGTCTCAAGACCTTTCTCTTTGACCGTGCCTTCAGCTCCCCTCTCGACTCTCTACTCCCTCCTCGCTCCCTCCCTTCCCTCCCCTCACCCTGACAATTTCCCCCCTGCTCGGGTCCTGACCCAACTGTCCAGTGCCTTGGGACGTCCTCCCAACGTAAAAGGCTCTCTATAAATGGAATCTTGTTGTTGTTGTTGTTGTTGCCTTGACTCCGCCAATTTTGGTCTGCTCAATATCTCCCCCCTCCTTCCCCATCATCATCAGTTGACACGCTTTCAGCCACTCTAGCCCTGCTCTCTGGAACTGTCTCCCTAAACCCTTCCACCTCGCTAAGTCCATCTCTGCTTTCAAAGGCCTATAAAGATCTATCTTCTTGACTATGCCTTTGGGCAATTGCCTCCTATCCTGACCCCCCCCCACGTCCTCCATGCAGCTCGGACTCTCACTCAATCTCTGTAAAGTGCTTTGAGACGTTATTCTATGTAAATGGTGCTGGATAAGTGCAAGTTGTTGAAAAATAGTGAAAGATTATCCCCACTGGACCCTGAATCAGTAAGAAGAGGTCGCAAGGTCATGATTGTCACTGAAAAGTTATGGGGAACATTAGATTCTGTTTCCCGGAGAGGATTGGTATACGGACAAACACAGAATGTTTTACAACATGTGACAAGCGTCATTAAAAAGGGAATTGGATAAGTGTTTGAAGAGGAAAAATATGACAGAACACGGGCACAGAACAGGGAATGGGATCACCTAGACAGCTCCAGTGAAGGAGCAAGCAACATTATAGATATGAAGGGGAGAGAGCAGGGAATGGAGTTAGAGTAGAGAGCTCCAATGGGGGAGAGAGCACCAGGACCGACACGATGGGGAGAGAGCAGGGGAATGGGGTTAGAGTAGAGAGCTCCAGTGGGGGAGAGAGCACCAGGACCGACAAAATGGGGAGAGAGCAGGGGAATAGGGTTAGAGTAGAGAGCTCCAGTGGGGGAGAGAGTACCAGGACAGACACGATGGGGAGAGAGCAGGGGAATGGGGTTAGAGTAGAGAGCTCCAGTGGGGGAGAGAGCACCAGGACAGACAGGATGGGCTGAAAGGCCTCCTTTTGTGCGATGTGCATGGCTGGAATGCATGTGTTTTTTTAAGCAGTGACATTTTATATACGTCAGGCCTCGCTGGCTTGTAATGCATGACATGGGATGAGGTTTGCAGCAAATGGTCTTGAAATCACTGACATTTCCTGTGTTCTCCGCTTTAGAATCTGGAGTTAATCGGCAAATCGCCTTCCTTCAGCGGCCATCCAACCTGGCGGTCCTGGAGGGAAGGGACGGAATTCTGGAATGTTCTGTCTCTGGATTTCCAGCCCCCTTGGTGATTTGGAAGAAAGGAGATGAAATTATTCAGACCAGGTAAGTCTGTGTTGTAAGACCTCTCTCTGCCTGTCTTTGTGTGTGTGTGCGCGTCTCTCTCTCTCTCTCGCTTTATCTCTCGCTCTCTGTCTCTTCGTCTCTGTCGCGCTTTCTGTCTCAGGTGTCTTCCTCTGCCTCTTTTCTGTCTGCCTCGCTGTGTCTGTCTCTTCTCTGTCTATCCCTTAGCCTCTTTTGGTCTTATCCCTCCGTGTCTCTATTCCTCTCTTTCACTGTCTCGTTCTGCGTGTGTTTGTCCCTCTCTCTTTGTCTGTGTGTATCTGTGTGTCCATACGTGTGTGTATTTTGTCGTTCTCTTTGTGTCTGTGTGTGTGTGTCTCTCTCTGTCTTTCTCTCTCTGACTGTATGTTTGTGTATCTGTGACCCTCCCTCACCACAAACTGATCCCAGTGATGGGCTATAATGAATGTTACTGCAGTAATAACTAATTATTGAACGTTAGTGAGTGGCCAATTCCCCCTGGAGAAGGGAGAGCGAAGTAAGAATCCGGGTGTGTTTTTCAAGATCCACTTGATTGGGTAAATCGAGAGAGAGACACAGAGAATGGTGCTGTTTCCCACGATTCGGGAAGTGATTAACAAGAGATCGTAAAATAAGGATTAGTCACGTGAGTAATAGAGGGGCCAGGTTAGAGGAATAACTATTTTCACGGCCAAGGGGTGTGGGAGAGGAAACTTGAAAGCGGGCTCTTTGTTCTGGGATTTCAACCTGTTTTTGAACTCTTCCCCCCACCCCCCTCCGACTATTAAACAACAACAATAAATTACATTGACACAGCTCCTTTCACGTCGGGAGGACGTCCCAAGCTGCTGGACAGTCAACGTTTTGCACCCGAGCTGGGGGTTGGGATCAGGAGGGATGGAGGGCAGGGAGGGCAGGGGGTAAGAAGAGGAAGGTCTTGAGATGGGCCTTGAAGGAAGCAAGGAGACGGGACGAAGGGGTTGGAGATCCAAAGGATGGGGCGGAGACCCTGAGGGCCCGACCGCTGTTGAGAAATATTTGTGTGTCACCTCTTCAAGATAAATCTTAGATCCAAAGCTGCTTATTTCTTAAGTCGGGGGTGAATCTGTGCGCTACTTGAGCTCAGGGTTGGGAGATGCCTGGAAGCCCTCCAGATCTTTGACATGTATTTACTGGGCAAGTTACATGGCGGCCAAATTGATTCTCCTCTAGCTATTCCTCACGGCCTGGGATAACTCGTGTTTCAAAGCGATTGCTGATGCAGGCATCTGTCACCTGCAACTCATCCCCATCGCTGGCTGCTCACTCACTGCTGAGGTTTGTTTGTGAGCACAAAGCCCACAGCTGATGACTGAGTCACTCCAGTGATTTATTCCTATGCGACACACCTCTCGCTGGGCGAGTGAATAAGCAACAGCCTGGCTCAGCTGGTAGCACTTTCACCTCTCCAATCTTCTTACTCCCCACTCCACTACCCGACTGCTCCGGCCTCCTTATCTCTCGTGGCCTCCGTTCCACACCGTCAGTGGCTGCACTTTAAGTCACTATTCCCCGAAACTCTGGAACTCTCTCCCTCAATCCCTCCGCCGTGCCCCCCTCCTTCCTCGTCTGCGGGTCTGAAGACCTTCCTCTTCGAATGTGCTTATGGTCACCCCAACCTCCCCCCCCCACCACACCCCCCCCCCCCCCCAATGGCTCGGAATCGAGCTCCGCCCCACTGTCAAACCTCTCAGATGCTACCCTGGGTGAGCGGTGTTATATTGTTGTTGTTGTTCTGGCTGTGGGTTTGAATCCCTGGCTCAGTGCAAGACTGACGCTCCAGTGCAATGCTGAGAGTGGTTGTCAAGAGGTGTAACCTTAGTCCTAAAGATATCCAGGGTCTAATCCGCTGTGCGAAATTGGCTGCTGCGTTTCACCCATAAAATACAGTGAATCCACCTTAAATAAATCCCGCAAAGAGCTTTGAGAGATCTTTCCTGTTTGCATTTTGAAATCTAGTAGCATTGTGAATTATTTTAATCTGTTCGATTCAGCATTTCAGTATAGCTGTGAATCACAGTTCCATTTAGACACAGATATTCTTTGAAACGTTGGAATGTGCCTTCGTTCCAATACCAAATCATCTTCAACCCACTGCAGCACAAATTATTCTTTTTGGGGGGGTGGGGGGAAATGTGGAAGGAGAACCATGTGGAAGGAAAAGCAAAGATAAGTTATGTTTCTGAAAGTAAATAAAAGGCTGCTGAACATTTTATCAGTAACCAAGTGAAAATAGAACTTAAATTTGACTGCTTAATAGTAAATACTTTTGAAGGGAGGTCAGGGGAGGACGAAGAGGAATGAGGAAGAACATTCTGTGGGTACACCACAATGGCTGTGCTCAATTTCTGTCTATAGTGCAAATGTTGAGCACGTTTCCTTACTCCACACGCCTCTGTTTACTCAGCAGTAAGTAGGAACCCAGTTATTAGTCGATTGGCGAATCACTTTTCTAGGAGTAATAATCCCTTCAAAAAAATAATAATAATTTGGCCGCATTTCACCCACGAAACATACAGTCAATTCAGTATATTGTATTGTAGTATATTACAGTATCGTCTGTGAAGCGTTTTGAGATCTCTCGAAAACGGGATAAGGCATCAATGGCAAAGATTATTATTATTATTATTTCAACGACGTGATAAGGCGCTATAATCAAATGCAAGGATTATCATTGAAACCTTCATGTTTGGTGTTGCATTTGTACTTGGGTAGGTTTACGCACAGAGGATATGTGGCTCGCACTCTCTGCTTAAAAGCAGTTTGCAGGCGGCAAAGACATCTTTTGCACATGGTTTGCACACACCTTGCACAAAATGCAGTCACCATTTCCCCTCCCTCCCCAGTGCTGAAAACCAGTCCCAACCAACCAGCAACCAACCAACCATTGGATCGATTGCTTATATTTCAGGTCGAGGAAGCACTCACTGCTGGCTGGCAGTAACCTGCTGATCAGAGGCGTGACTGAGATAGACGCTGGCTTGTACACATGTGCCACTAGCTACAGGAACGAGACCATCAGTGCCTCGGCGGAGCTCACTGTGATGGGTAAGTCCACAAAACACCTGATAGTATCCAGGCTCACTAGTTTGGTGACATCCCTTAACTTAGAGTGGTCCAACCTTTTGGCTGTTGAGGGCTGGATGCCCTATTTGAGAAATGTCCATGTGCTGTACGAGCAATTATTTTCGTGTTTCCCTTCCAGACACATAGCATAACATTTACGGGTTATGGGGCAGTGGGCGGGCCAGATGAAATGGAGGAGGTGTGGGGAGGGGGGCATCTCAGCCCGCAGGCCAGTTGGACCACTCTCCCTTATGGTAATCGTGCTACCAAATCCTGGGATTGCAACCCTTAGCTTCGCTCATTCCTCGACTGCTCTGCTCCTTTCATGAGCCCCTCCAATCGGGTTTCCAGACTGCTCACAGCTCTGGAAACTGTCTGGTCAAAGTGCCAAACTACATTGTCCATCTGTAACCAGGGCTCCCTCTGCCTCCTCCTCCTCCTCAACCACTCCATCCTCCTCCACCGCCTCTCCTCTCACCGCAACAACAACAACAACAACAAGATTCCATTTATAGAGCGCCTTGTACACGTCGGGAGGACGTCCCAAGGCACTGGACAGTTGGGTCAGGACCCGAGCAGGGGGGAAATTGTCAGGGTGAGGGGAGGGAAGGGAGGGAGCGAGAGGGGAGCTGAAGGCACTGTCAAAGAGAAAGGTCTTGAGACCGGCCTTGAATGAGGAAAGGGAGGAAGCGGCAAAGGCACTGGGGGATAGAGTTCCAGAGCCTCGGGGCTGAGAGGCTGAAGGCCCGACCACCGATGGTAGGGTGGTTGGGGCGGGGGATGTGGAGCAGACCAGAGCCAGAGGAACGGAGGGTACGGGCAGGTAGGTAGGGGGATAGTAGGTCGGAGAGGTAGGAGGGAGCAAGGCCGTGAATGGCCTTGTAGGTGAGGATGAGGATCTTGAATTCGATCCTCTGGGGGATGGGGAGCCAGTGGAGGCGAGCGAGGGTGGGAGTAATGTGGTCGCGAAGCCTGGTGCGGGACAGTACACGAGCTGCAGAGTTCTGAATGACCTGCAGTGTGGAGGGAGGTGCCGGGAAGGCCGGCGAGGAGAAAGTTTCCATAGTCCAGCCTTGAGGTGATAAAGGCGTGGACCAGAGGTTCCTGACTGGCTTTGAGAGGTGGAGAGTGCAGCCTTGGATGCTGATGCTGTCAGCGCCTGAGGTGCGGAGGCGCTGTCGCGAGCCAATCAGGAGGGCCTCAGTTTTGCGCACGTTGAGCTGACATGGGGTCAACTTCCACATGTACGTGGATTACTTCATCCCACTGCCTCTACCCTCAATTCCAGGACAACTGCTGTCTGACAGACTGTCTGTCTGACATCAAGTCCTGGATGAGAGTCAACTTTCTACAGCTGAATGTCAGCAAGACCGAGACCGTCCTGATTGGCTCGCGCCAGCGCCTCCGCACCTCAGGCACTGGCAGCATCAGCGTCCACGGTTGCACACTCCACCTCACCAGGAACAGTCGGTCAGGAACCTGAGCATCTTGTTCGACCCTCAACTGTCCTTTCTCCCCCATATCCATGCCATGACCCGCTCTGCCTTATGTCAGCTCCATAACATTGCCCGACTCCGCCACTGCCTCACCCCTCACGATGCTGAAACCCTCATACACGCATTCGTCACCTCAAGACTTGACTACGGTAACTCCCTCCTTGTCAGTCTTCCCAAATCTTTTCTCTACAAGCTGTAGATCATTCAGAACTCTGAGGCTCTATAAACCAGGCTCTGCGGGCTCATCACCCCCACCCTCATCCGGCTCCACGGGCTCCCCATCTCTCAGAGGATAGAATTCAAAATCCTCATCCTCACTTTCAAGGCCCTCCAAGGCCTTGCCCCCTCCCTCCTACGTCTCTGACCTGTTGACCCTCTATCAACCTGTCCGCTTCCTCCATTCAGCAGGCTACGGCCTGCTTCAGGTCTCCTACCCGACCCGCCCTACCATTGGTGGCTGGGCTTTCAGCCTCTCTGCCCCCACTCTCTGGAATTCCATCGCGCAATCCCTTCACCTTGCTTCCTCTCTTGCCTCCTTCAAGGCACGACTCAAGACCCTCCTTTTTAACAGTGCCTTCGGCCGCCCTCCTACTCTCTCTACCCTCCCTCATCTCAACCCTGCCCCCCTCCCACACTCGGGTCCTGATCCCCGATTGTTCAGCGCCTTGGGACAACCTCCGGATGTGAAAGGCCCTTTACAAATGTAATTTTGTTGTTAGTTTGGAGCAACCATTAGACAAGATAGCCTTGAAAAGGGACGTCTCAGGGGACAGGTTTACGGAGGCGTACAAGATTCTAAATAGTTTTGGGATTGAAGTAAAGCCAATACAACAGATACAACAGGTTCAAGTGTTGTGAGGGGCAATTACAGGACAGACAACAGGTAGTATTTCTTTACCTAGAGCATCGAGGACGTCAGGAGGATGTGAGAGCGGGTAGGGTAGGGGGGCAAAAAAAGCTTACATGTAAGAGCGATTTACATTTACACAGCCCCTTTATGCCGGAAGGTCGTCTTAAAACATTTCACAGCTGATCTAAGGGTAAGGAGATCTTAGGACGTTTGGTGTGGTGGGGAGGTGATCAAAAAGAGCATTGAAAAGACCTTGAGATTTTTGACCTCACATTGACGGTTAACACCCTCTGAAGTGGCCCAGCCCCAAACAGCATCTCCTCCTCACAGCAATAGATGGCCGCCTGTATCCTGAATCAAGACAGACGATGTCTTGACAGAGAAATTGTCAATTGTCATGGCAGGATTTGAACCTTGCTCCTCTTTTACCTCTGCGACCTATTAAAACTTCACCATCCTTGCCTGCTCCATGTCTCCAGCCCCCCTATCCATGGTCTGTCCTTCAGCCTTTCCGCGACCACATCACTCCCACCCTCACTCGCCTCCACTGGCTCCCCATCCCCCAGAGGATAGAATTCCTCATCCTCACCTACAAGGCCATTCACGGCCTCGCTCCCTCCTACCTCTCCGACCTACTGTCCCCCTACTTACCTGCCCGTACCCTCCGTTCCTCTGGCTCCGGTCTGCTCCATATCCCCCGCCCCAACCGCCCTACCATCGGTGGCCGGGCCTTCAGCCTCTCAGCCCCTAGGCTCTCGAACTCCATCCCCCAGTGCCTTCACCTTGCTTCCTCCCTTTCCTCCTTCAAGGCTGGTCTCAAGACCTCTTCAACCGTGCCTTCAGCTCCCCTCTCGACTCTCTATCCCCTCCTCGCTCCCTCCCTTCCCTCCCCTCACCCTGACCATTTCCCCCCTGCTCGGGTCCCGACCCAACTGTCCAGCACCTTGGGACGTCCTCCCGATGTCAAAGGCGTTCTATAAATGCAATCTTGTTGTTGTTGTTCTGCCCTCACCCTCTGGAACTCCATCCTGGAGCTCCTCCACCTTGTCCCCTCCCTTACCTCCATCAAGGCAGGCCTCAAAACCTGTCTTTTCGACCGTACTTTCGGTCCTCTTCCCTCCTCCACGTCCCTTGACCTCCACCCCTCTCTGATCCCAACCCCCAGCTCGGGTGCAAACCCCTCATTGTCCAGTGCCTTGAGACGTCCCTTTCGATGTGAAAGGCAATTTGTTGTTGCGGTGGTGGTGCTTTGTAGTGTCAGTCTAGTAACACAATCCTCCACTTATACACACTCTCACAGGCCCCACCATTCCAGTCAAGGCAGCTGTCAAACAGCAAAAGACTTTGTCCAAGCGGCGTGACACGGTGAACCCCTTAATCCTTCCACCTCAGACTTGTGCGTCACCGTTTCGCTTCCCTCAGTAGCTGAGGACCTTGACAGCTTGTCAACGTGACCTGAGATAATCAGAATACCTATCCCTCAGTGCCTGTAAATCAGAGCCGCCTCGCTCAGCCTAGATTTGCCGTGCTGTTTATAGGACAATTCCTGCCTGCAGCTGGATCTGGAGGAGTTATTGATTGTGTCTGTGTGCGCACGTTTACATGTGTTTGTCTTTAAAAACCCACTTGGGGGAACTACAGAAGATTGTAGTTTGTTCTTCTGAGGGGCTCTGGAAATCGAACTGCTTCTGCTTATCTGGGAAAGACCTCATGTGGCCACGAGCCATGGAAAAGAACTCGATTAAGCCAGGTCTCTTCACCCTTGAATAGAAACATCTTGAAGAGGACTTTGTAATGGAGTGTTAGATTCTAGATGCGATTGAGTAACTCAACCTAGAATAATAGTGGATTTAGCTCAGTGGTTAGCGTGCTCGAGAGATCCGAGTTCCCAGGGGAAACCTTAGGCAAGTTTCCTTACACCACAACTCCTCTCTTTACCCAGTTATTAGTCGATTGGTGGTTTGCTTTCTGGGGCTAATAATTCCTCAAAGATGTTTTAACAAAAATTTGGTCCTCAATTGATGACTGTTTGTGGGACACTGCTGTGCGCAATTGGCTGTTGCGTTTCGCCAACAAAATATCCTTTCCAATGTATTCCGTGAAGCGCTTTGAGACGTCTCCATGACATGATATGGAGCTATATCAAAAGTAAGGATTATTATTATTAATAATCATAATTTTCAGCTGTACTGAGCCAGCATGACAAGAGGAGACAGGTTCAGGGTTGCACAGGGCAATTTCAGGCAAGGTACCAGGAAGTAACATAATTAACAACAACTTATATTTATAAAGCGCTGATATTCTTGGAGCACTGTTAAATGCGAGTTGGTGTAAAGAACTGCATTGACAAACCATTGCAGTGCTCGGAGGAGTGTGCATTTCAGAGATGCTATCCCTTGTATGAGCAGTTAAACTCCGCCTGTTCAGGTGGAGATTGAAAATCCTGCCATGTTATTCGAAAAGAGAAGGGAGTTTCTCCCGACAATTCCCCAAATTGTAAAAAAATTGGTCTTTCACATGATGGGCTGTCTGTGGGACATTGCTGTGCACAAATTAGCTGCCACGCTCGCCTACAAAATACACTACACTTTAATGAAAACTTTGTGAAGTGCAGTGCTTTGAAATAATAGGCGCTC